TATATATACCTACACATATATACATATAAATATATGTATATATTCATATATGTATATATTTATCTATATATATAAAAATATTTATATAAATCTATATAAATGATATAGATCATGATTTTCGTTTTTTCTCTTAATTTAAATGAATATAAAAATCGCATATTAAATGTGTGTACATGCATTAAGATATTAGAATATGTTATAAAAAAAACTTAAAAAAAACACACTTTTTTAAACAATGCAAAAAACATTTAATTTAAAATTCAAGTCACACAAATATAATTGCAGCTATAAGTATACATATATATAGATATATATATATATACATGTATACATGAAAAGTTATTTAAATCAGAAAAAAAAAAAAAAGAATCCACAAAAATTTATTGATTTGGAGAATTCATGTGAAACAAGTGTCAAAGCAGCACAATAATTAAAATTATTTACGAAAGATATAAGTAAATAAATAAAAAATAAATAAAACAATAATAAAATAAAAACACAAAAAAAAAAAAATAAACGGAAATCAACAAAATTCAAAACGAATGAAATTCAGCAAAACTTAAAACAAATAAAATATATCTATAAAAACAAATACAAAGAAAAAAACAATATCGAGATTTTATTTATTTTTAATATATATATATATGTATATATAATATACCTGCCACCGAAGTATGATAAACATTTGATACAACATCCGACAATCATTTCTTAATGTAATATCTCAATAAAATTTCTCTATAAAATACATACATGTCCGTCTCTTCGTCCGCTTGTTGTTTCTTGCTAAAAGTTGCAGATCGGCAGCGCAAAACTTTTTATTTCACATTGAAGAAATATAAACAGTGTAGTGGGCCACCAACCACCGTAAACTGTCTTACATCACGTAGAGTCGTTCATATAACGACTTTTCAAATAATGGTGTCAATGTGTGTAATTGTGACAATTGTGACAAAGAAATAGATTCTAGGATCAAACAAATGGAATAAGCAGTAGCAACGAAGACCATTAACTCTTGTTTTTCTTAAAAGGTAGACTACATGATGTTAGTCTGGCCGCTTTAATAAGTTTAAATATTTTATTGATGTTATGTTCTCTAGGTACTCTGAAGATGTCCGCAGGATAGACGTGATATTTTATGGGGACATGGCTTAACAATTTTTAGAATACATAATACAACATTTAACTGACGCCCACAAATCAGGTTTGAATAAAAATCAGAAAACGCAAGTCTGGAACTAACTTATGATAGGCAACGTTTTTAAGATCGGCACAAAAGTTCATCTCAAGGGCAGCTTTCATAGGCCAACTGCCACGAGGGCTAATATGACTTTCATGTATTTACTTATGGTGGTGGGTATCCAAGATTCGCCTCAATTTGCGTGGATTACGTTCTTATTGGTTCTTATATTTTTCTTCTTTTTTTTTTCTAAAAAAACAAAAAAAAAGTTAAAAATTAGAAAAATCAACGAAAGTTTCACTCTACCATAAATCAATTCAAAATCAACTGTTACATCATAGCGATACGTTTAACAATAATAATTGAATTCGAATCGCATTTCATTTAATCATTCATGCAAACATGCATATGTTTGTGTATGTTTGTATTTTCGATTTAAACAACGTAGCAGTTGCTTGATTTCAAACAAAAAACATTAATAATAATAATAATAATAATGATAAAAATAATAATAATGACAGTAATGCCAATAATTAATTTGGTGCCTTTTATCAATGATAAAATTGTTTTCATTTATTTATTGCGAAATTTTTTTTTATTTCAATTTAATTATAGTTTTCTTGTATTAAAGTTATAATTTCTTTCATATGTTTCCATTTTCAATCATTTAGTTATCGGCATGGAAAGGATCACAGGTATGTATTGCTGACAAATTATTTATTTAAACAAAAACTAATTTGTTTCAATCAACAATCAATTATCTACAATTTCTTCAAAAAAATCTATTTACAATGTATTTACGCGAGAAATGATTGACAGCGATAAAAGGACGCCAAATATATGAATATTAACCCTGAACCGTCCAGAATAACATGAGCTGGAATTAAAATTTTTTTGGTTATCATACCCTACACCATGTGTTGGACAATGGTATAGAAGTTTAAGTACGCTTGTTTGTCCGTCTGTCCATTTTCTTTTCTTGTAATCAACGTACACGCCGTAATGTCTGAGATATTTTAATGACCTTGGAACGTTTGGATGAATTTGATATAGTGATGTATTTGGTTCCAAGGTCGAACGCGATTGAAAATCGTTCCGACAAACTTAGATCGTTTCAAAAAATGAAGTTGAATCAATCAGTCCATCTCAAGTCCATCTGGGTATTGTATACATCTCTGCAACAAGTGGTGTAGGGTATAAATATCTAGTCTACGTATAATATTCTATGTCCATAGCTCGTTTGGATAAATAAATGAATTGAAGTTAATAACATTTTAATTATTCCCATGATTCTCATAAGTGACTGAAAGGCACTTCGTGTTAGGATTCGTTACGAAAACACTTGTATGGTTAAGGATTAATAGAATGAGCGAAATGAATAAATGAAAGTTCAACACTTTTCGCATTATCATGCATAAGATGTAAATGTTACGTTAAATGACGTGCAGCCGTTGCTGCTAAAGTTTTCTTGCTCATAGCATTTTGGCGTGAAAGGTATGTTTAACCACGAAATAGAGAGAGATGCAGCAAATGTAGCACGGCATGGTACAGCACCTTAACTTATATATATTTTTTGTGAATGTCCCAAAAGAAAATGAACGCGAACCGGATACTATTAAACTTAGAATACTCAAAGAAGAACTTCAAGTACGATGGATAGCAGATACTGATATACAATTTGATAGAAATAATAGAACAAAGCGTCATCTAACCCATAATCACATTTAAGAAACTCTCTTTTTTATAAAATAGAATGAAAAGTAGTTTCCCTGGGAAATATAAAGCGTCCAATCTAAGCCGAAAATATGGTCCTCTGATCTTTTGCTGAAAATAATCCATATCGCCGTCTGCAATTTATACTTAACCTCAACTTGAAAGGAGGAATGCTTCCCATAGGGCGCCTGAAAGTTAATCAATTTTTATTGTTGGACTTATTATTATGATCCCTAAATTAGGTAGTCTGAAGTATATTGCGACTAATGGTAGGTGAGAGATGGCATTAGCGAGAGATAGTTTAAACCTCGACATTATTTTTGAGTTATATAATATTATTATACCCAGCATAAATTTTCTTATATTTAATACGATTTGAACCAATTTCTTTTCAGAGTTCTCTCTCTAAAGCCTTCCGTTTCAATGCAAAGTCATCCCGCAGCGGCAGCTCAGTTGGCGATCGCACCCCCCTTGGGAACTCCACCTCCCCAACACCATCGTTTAGTAGCTCAGAAGGGGGCGGAGGAATTTACGCCACTGTAGGTCCTCAATTCGTTCATTATCCACCGCCTACAACGGCTCCTCCGCCACCACCGACACCTTCAATCTCATCTTCAACATCACCCTCACCATATTCTATCAATCATTATCCACATTATGGTCAGGCAGCAATTGCCGGCCATCGTATTAGCGCACCACCAGTGGGGAGTGGTATCGAAGCCATTTCAGATCCGAATTTATTATATGAACAACATCGTCGTGTGAAGAGTATCAGCGATATTGGTAGGACAGCATCATCGCAATCCGCTTACGGTGCTTCTAGTATGCTATTAAATAAAGATAAGAAAAACAGAAGTAATTCTATAGCAACGGATAACCACAGCGTATGCAGTGGTCTGAGCGAAAGTGGCGAGGGTGA